GTCATCCACTATTCCTATGTTGGGGTTAATGTGACTTTACATCTACCAATATATGTTTTCTGAAACTGGGTGTGCCCATGTTTGGTAGACATATGTTTAAAATTGTAATAGTCATTTGATGGATTTGTTCATTTAATGAGCTGGTGACCTTATCTATTTTGTCTAGTTATGGTTTGAAGTCTTATTTTGTCAGATATTAGAATAGCCATGCTTGCTTGTTTCCATGTTCTAGTTATTTATCCTTTTCACAATTTCCTCCTAATATAGTGTCTATTTTTGATGGTGAAGAGTGTTTGTGGAGGCAACAAAAAGACCGATCCAGTCTACTAATCCAATCTGTTAGTCTGTGTCTTGTCATTGGAGAATTGAAACCAGTAGTATTCAGTGTTACTATTGAAAGATGTGCATCAATTCCTGTCATCTTATTGGTTTGTGGGTTTTTTTTTTCTTAGACTAACTCTCCTGGTATCATTTTCCCCTCATGGTTTCTTCAGTTTTAAGTATTCTTTCCAGTATTCTCCATAGAGCTGATTTAGTGGTAATAAGTTCCTTTTATTATAGAAATCTTTTATTTCTCTTTCAATTATGATAGATAGATGTGCTAGTTGTAATTTTCTGGATTGGCCCTTGTGGTCTTTCAGAATTTGAAATGCATCTTTCTAAGATCTTTTGGCTTTAAAATTTTCTATAGAATTGTAAGGTCTCCATGTTAATGGGGGACATGGAGAGAGAGTGTTCTTTGCAGTCACGAGGTTTATTTAGCACTAGAAAGAATGGTGGCTTTAAAGGGGAGCCTCTTCTTCCCTTTAAAGGCCTATCATGTTTAGATCTTCATATTATTGTGTTGTTTTGTCTAACGCTTCTCCTCCCACCTCCAGGCCTAACTGTGCCCACCCGAGGCCTTTCAACATATTAAACCTCACTCCTGAATGGAATTATGAATCAGTTTCCTTTCCAGACTGGTACTGCTGTTACCTTCTTCTTATAACATTTATATTATTTCATTTAATTTTCAAATTCCATTGACTATAGGATCAATTCCAGAGAACTTAAATGAAAGATGTCTTTCATAATTTCTACAACATCATTTCCCATTACCTTTCATCTTTAATCCTATATTGGGGAAATACTAAAGTTCTTAGTTTTCTGCAGTATCTTCTCCATACTGATCCCTCTACGAAGAATTCCTTTTTCTTTGCATCCATTTCCCCCCTTTCAACTTGGTAATGCCTATCGATACTTCATGAAGGTCCCCAGACATCACCTCCTCTAGATCTTCTTGGTTCTGTCCTCATTTCCCAATTTTCATCACCAAAAGCTGAGTGGACAAGGAGAAGATGTTCATGTATGGAACACCTGCTGGGAACAGTGGAAGGCAACAGGACGAAATAAGCTCTTGTGGTATGAAAAGCAGCCTTGAGTTACCTCAGATGAAGAACAACTGGGGCTTATATTCAAGCTTATTCCATAAAAATAGAGAAGAAAAAAAGGCTAATAAAAACAATAGTGTTTCTCTTTACTCTGAAGACTTAAAAACTCAGATACTGGGCTTTGAAAAAGTAAGGCAAAATGAATCTTTACTAAATGAAAAACATCATTTCTTTCTCTTTTTTTTCTTTTTTGGACTTTTTTTGAGACAGGGTCCCCCTGTAATCCCAGCTGGCCTGGAATATCATTTCTTTAAACATATTATATTGTTTTAAATTTCTTAGTGTATTGGTCCTTATACTCTTTTATTTCCTAGAAAATGAAAGTAACTTTCCCACTAAATAATTTAATTGGCATTAAACATTTTTCACAAGCCATTTTTCCTCCTTGAAGAGTTGTTCCAGATTAGTTTTGCCTGTTTTAACAAACCAAACACCACCTTTTTTTTTTTTTTTAAAAAAAGGCTTTTTCAGTGTATCTCAGTCTGTCCTAGAACTCATGATTAGTCTTCAAAATTTTAGAATTACAGAAGTGCACCGCCATAATTATATATTTTTATTGTATTTTGTTTTCATAAAAATCTGATTCAAAGCCAGGCACTTGGGAGGCTGAAGGTGGCGGATCTCTGTGAGCTCAAGGCCAGCCTGGTCAATAGTGAGTTCCAGGTCAGCCAGGGCTACAGAGAGACCTTGTTTCAAAGAGACCAAAAAAAAAAAAATCTGATTCAACCCTGGCTGATGTAAAGCAACAAAGAAACAAAAACAATACAGGCTAGTGCCACAGTCCTTGATTACCTACCAGAACTTGAAGGTAAGACCCTGTTGCTGAAGACACAATATACTTTGGACAGAGGACTTGGAAGCCTCCTCCCTGACTTGCTCTGATAGTATCAGAGGATACTATGCAAACTGCCAAGGGAAAAGACCAATCAATGTTCCAGCCCAGCTGTAAAGCCTAATAAACACAATGACTGGTTCAGCAAACTGCCTTTATTGAAGCAGAGTAATGGCACTTTTATTTTGGGGGTAATCAACAGCTGTCTAATTGGAGTTAAGGTCTCTCGACAGGAGAGAACTCACGCGTGGCCAAGTACACATGGCTGGAGAGGTCATAGATCCTAAAGAAAAACCCACTTTGCCACATCCCTAGACAAACGAAATTTCTTACGAAATTTCTTACTGAATTCTAAATGTGTCCTTATATTTACAGTCAAGTGTACATCTCACCATTCATCAAAAAAGCTTCTTCTTGCAACCGATGGAGATAATTACAGAGTTCCACAAGTGGCCAAATGCAAAGAATATGTCTGTGAGATGCCCATCAACAATGCAACCTCTACACCTAAGGCTCAGGGAACATAGCAGAATAGGGGGAAAAAAGAATATTAATGCATCTTTAAACTCTCACCAGTGAAGCTTCCTCATTCAACAGATGGTGAGTAACTCAGAAAACCACAACTGGCCAAAGTGCAGACAATGAGGCTGCAGAGTGCGTGTCCCTGAGTGGGACACCTATATCAGACCTCTGTCATGCAGACGACCATTGAGAAAGACGGGGTATAAAGAGTCAGAGGTGGTGGAAGTCCACCCAGAAAGAGTTTTTCATACAGCTAGGAAGTTACTCATGTGAGCTTGCAGCAAAGAGGACAGAATGTGTAAGATCCATGTAAGTTTAAACAATCAAATAACAGCACAAAAGGGCAGAAATGGGAAGCCCCAAACTTAGCTGAGAAACTATTGGCAACTGATTACTACTGGAAAAAGGAGAGGTGGTTTTCTATTAAGGAATGACACTAGATTGGCTGACCAGGTCCAGGGGATGAACTCACACCGAGGGACATATGGGGACAGAAACTTGACTTGATAGGCCTTAACCTACATGACAGAATGCATGAAAACCAGTGGAGAGGGTTGGGGGGGGAGTGCAGATCTAAATATGATCAAGATGTATGAAATTTGCCAAAAAAGTCAATAAAAAATTGTGTGTGGTAAAAAGAAAAAGCATTTTAAAGCTGAATCTGCAACAAATCTTTTCAGAGTATTCATTGATCACAACATAAATAGTGTAACTGTCCTAGTTTCCTTTCTGCTGCTGTGTGGTAAAACACTGACCAAAGCAACTTGGGAAATAAAGGGTTTATTTGGTTTACAGCTCACGGGCCATTTCCAAGGCAGGAACTAAAGCAGAGACCATGGAGGGATGCTCTTTACTGGCTTGCTCCTCTTGGCTTGCTCAGCTAGTCCTTTTATATAGCCCAGAGATAGTACTGCCCACAGTGGGCTGGGTCTTCTAACATCAATCAGCAACTATGAAAGTGCCTCCCAGACATGGCTGCAAGTCAATCTCACAAAGAAACTGTTCAGTTGAGGTTCCCTCTTCCCAGGTTAGAATGTGTCAAGTTGACAAAAAACTCACTAGCACAGAAACTTTGGGAATATTAGACTCTATTTTATTCAAAATAATTTGTAGACAATCCTGTCACCCCCCTCTTCCATTTTTCAACTTACTGGTAGGTTCCTTTCATTACTCAACTCTGCCCGCTAAGTTTTGTGTTCATCAACACTTTATATTATGCTTTTTCTCTCTGAGGGGTTGTAAAAATTACTGTTTTTATAATATTATTCCAGCAGACATGAGTATTTATAATGTGTTCAATAAATATTTGGTGTCTGAGAGAATAACAAGCAACAGGAGTTTAAAATGACATTCATAAAAAATCAATACTGAACCAGAAGTCAGGGTGTCACTGGCCTGTAGCCTCAGCAAGTCCAGGCTCAGGTGGAGGCTGACTTGTATGAGTACAATATAAGATTGGGCAACATACATACACACCACTTCCTCTCTCCTCAATTAAAAAAATAGGGTGGAGCCAGGCCTGGTGATTCCAGTCCTTGGGAGGCAGAGGGAGGTGGACCTCAGTGAGTCGGAGGCCAGTGTGGGCTCTAAAGCGAGTTCCAGGCCAGCTGGGGCTACAGGGAGACTCCGTTCCCCACCCCACCCCCCAAAAAAGGGTGGGCTGGAGTGATGAGATAGCTATATTGCCTTTGCAGAGGGCTGAAGCTGAGTTTCCAGCACCCACATGGGGGGAGGGGGGACTTCCAACAGCCTGTGATGCTCTCCATATGCTCTCTTCAGGCCTCTGCAGGCACTGCGCTCACAAGTATAGCCCTCCTCCCCCCATATAGAGAATTTAAAAAAATTTGGAGGAAAAAAAGGAGAAGCATATTTGAACCATTAAGAATTACATTAGTCTTGATAAAGTTCCATTTTACTCCTACACTACTGTAACAAATATTCTTGGTGTTCAGGGAGGGGGCCTTGAGAACTGACATATCGAAGAATCCAGACCTCGTTCCAGTACCTAAGTAAAAAGTCCCACGGGCCATTTTGAGCCACACATTTCCTCCGCCCCAGGCTGGCTGTCCGGACAGCAGTCCGCCCTTCCCACCGCCAGCGATGCGCAGTTGGCGCGAAGATCCTCAGAGGTCCTTCGGCTCTCCGGGAAGCCCCGCCCCCAGGCCGGCCGGCGCATGCCCTGTGCGCGCCGCCCGGGCCCTCGGGTCCTCCCTGCGCCCCGCCCCTTTGCTGGCGCAGGGGCACGCGCACCGGGGCGTGCAGCGATTGGCTGCTTTGGTGGAGGCGCCTCGGGCCTGAGAAGCTGGGCGAGAGCCGAGTCGAGTCCGCTCTGAGGGATCCCGGCGCTTCTCAGGTAACCGCGAGCACCCGCGGGGTGGGCGGCCGGCGGGCCGACGGGATGGGCTGAGGCGGCCCGAGACTTCCGGCCGCAGACCCCGAGCCGCCGAGGGGCCGCGCGGAGGCCTCCCGAAGTGGGCCGCGTCCCGGGAGCCCGCGGGGACCGAGCACGCCCTGTGGGCGCGATTTCGGCCGCCTCTCCAGTTGCCTTTGAAATTTCCGGGCGAACGTTGATGAAAAGCGCAGGTTTCTGCTTCTTCCTTAAGTCTTGTCGAATAGGATTTCCGTCCCGGCTCTTGAGAGACGCTCTAGTCGTTCGTGGGGCTCAGCCTCGGCAGTGTGCGCAGGTCGCGGTGTCTCAGAACACGCGCCGCGCCCCCTCCAGAGAGCTGCTAGAACGAGCTAGAGCCTCTCCAAGTGGAAGGTGACACCGCCGGCAGTGTTCTTTAAACTGCGGAGGAGCTGAGTACGCACAAGACAGCGTTTTTATGAGTTAAATCCCAGTGGAAGTGAAATGGGGGCGGACAGCCTTCATTACTACTTACCAGCTTTGCAAAGTTTGTTTTTTTTTTTTTTTAATCTGGAAGTGGAGGTAAGCTAAAATGATAGTTACATAGTCATTGTGTAGGGTATCATCCTATGCAATATTATACCAGTAAAATGAACGGAAGCTGGCTTGGCTATGAGATAATAGACATCATTCCATTGAAGAGAGTAATGATGGGGGATCAGAAATATGAATAGGAGGCGTACACAGTTTTCCTTCAAAGACACAGTACAAAAAAATCGTGGATCAGCTTTAAAAGTTTAATAGACACAGCAACATGACTGGGTCATGTGTATAACTTGTTAAATTGTCATGAAGTGTGCATACTCATGTATTTGGTACCTAGATCAAGAAAGAATCTAAGTCTGCTTTCTAGAAAACTCCACTTTGTACCCCCTTTCAAACGGTAACCATTGGATTTGAGTTTGCTTACACAAGAACCAAGATACTGGAGCCATCACAGGCTATGGCCTCCTAGCTAATTTCTTTGACCCAGTTCCTGGACTGAATCTGGGTTGCCAACCCTTGCTCTATAGAAAAATAGCTGCATTTGGTCGATAGGTGGTGAAATAAGTAACTGAGACAACCTATATTGGAGAAGCAAAGGTATGTAAGAGTATTGAGTAGTGTGTGCTGTAGTGTTTGGGGTTTGTATTTCAAATCTCTGCAGCACACTTCCTTTGCTTTTTGCTAGTCTTCCCTCAATACTGACAGAGACATGTGAAACGTTTCTCAACTGTTACTATTATTCCTGTTCTATCCCTTTAAAATAGAAACAGAAGAGTTAAAGAGGAAAGGAGGTAAAAGTTTTCTTTGATATTTTGTAGAAGCCTGGGGGCTGATCATTCCCTGATGGTCCTGAACACTGAGTAAAAGACTATAAAATACTCTTGCAGTACTTTGAGGTACATACTTTGTGCCTTGAGATGGCCTGACTAAATTTTTATCTATTTGACGAGTATATTTATTTATATGTAGTGTATTTACCATACTAAAATGAATAGTCAGTGGTTTGACCCCTAAAGCTTGGGTGTGATGCGTCCACTGAGGTGGAGATCTGCTTTAAAAAAAAAAAAATTCCTTAATGGGCTCTCCACTTTAACATCTCTTACTCTGGACTTTGGGCTGTTCAATCAGTACTAGCAAAACTTTTTTCCTTACATAGGAGTAATAGCTTTCCTGAATACAGCTAACATTTGCCCCAGACACTTTAGGTGGTTTATAGAGGTGAATTTAGTATATTTTTATAAATAAGCTGATGCTAATCAGAGGCTTGCAGAGCACTGTTATTGATTTATTTGAGCTTTTCAGACGTTTTTGATTGCTAAACAGATTTAAGATAGATGATACCTTGTGACACAAAGCGTTTATAGTCCTTAAGCTTTTTAAAAAAAAATAAATTCTAGATGAGATATGTTAGACAGCAGCAAACTAATGTTATTATTCATTAAATTTAAAAAATATGTAAAAGAAATAATTCTCCCTGAAATTTTAAAGAACAGAGTTTCATTTTAGTCTGTCTTTTACTCTTGGGGTTTTTTTGTCATTGTTTGTTTGCTTGTTTTGAGACAGGGTCCTAGTAGGCCAGGCTAGCCCTGATCAGACAGAGATCCTCCTGCCTCTGCCTCCCAGATGCTGGGACTTAAAGGCATGTACCACCATGCTGAGCTACTCTTTAGGTTTTTTGGAATCAGGATCTCTTGTAGTCTAGGCTAGCCTCCTACTAGCTATGTAGCTGAGGAAGTTTTGAACTCTTAGATACATAGGCTAGTTTAGATACATAGGGTGGCATATTATAAATTTGTGTTTCTGCATTAGATGATTTATGTATAGCTGCTATCTGAGAATGCTGTCATTATGTTTGGGTTTTGGAAACAACTAGACTACAACAGGATTTATTTTACTGCAGCCTATAAACTTGAATTTTGTTTGTTTCCTCTTGAAGCATCTTTTTTTTTTGTACTTTTATCTTGAGGATTTTGTACTGTGGAATGAATTTTGAAAAATTGAAAAAAATAGATTAATTAATCTTTAATGTAACACATTACATTGTGAAATGTAACACATGTAAAGAGAAGGATATAAAAGTAGGGACATTTTACTGAAATGAAAATGAAAAGTGAGCACTCATATAACCATTATAAAAATATTTACATTGAATGGTTATTGAAACTTGTTACTAATCTGCTTTGTTTACAGAAAGGAAGTCTGCTTGTGTGATATGAATTCATCTTGCAGGTGGAATGTTTATATGTGTCTATTAAGTGAAACTTATTAATGTTGCTCAAATTTCTTTCATTAATGATTTGCATATGTATACATCTCTGTGTTCTAGTCATGGTAATTGTTGACAGTTTACTGTATGATAAAGCTCCCTTGTCATCCTGGAGTCTGTTTCTCCCCAGAGTTTCTTTTTCTGAGGTCATGCTATTTAAAGCATTATGGTTAATCTATTTTCCTGTTTCTCCTTTATCAGTGATTCCATATGTCTCTAGTGATACTTTTTTTTTTTTGTCTTTTTGAGACAGGGTCTCTCTGTAGCCCCAGCTGGCCTGGAACTCACTATGTAGACCAGCCTGGCCTTGAACTCACAGAGATCTGCCTCCTTCAGCCTCCCGAGTACTGGGATCAAAGGTGTGTACCACCACGTCCGGCCTGTGATACTTTTTGTTTTAAAGCATGGTCTGATTTTCAAAAAAGTTTTTAAATTTTGAAATCAGTTGTCTTATTGAGAAGTTGCAAAAATAATGTAAGTCTCTGACTTATGACAGTTCAGCTTACCATTTGTTTTGACTCTATGATCATGTGAAGCAGATAGGTATTCAGTAGAAATTGCATCTCACATTTGTAGTTTTAATCTTATCCCAGGCTAGGGGTAGACATGCTAAACTTCTATGTCATGCTGGGTAGTAGTAGTAAGCTGCAGCCCTAGGCAGTATCACAAGGACCAAAGACTGATACTGTTTGGTATATTGTGTTGTTAAACTCGGGTGTTTGATGAGTTAGGTGTATTAAATGCATTTAAAAAAATCTTTTTATTTTTTTACATGTATGAGTGTTTTGTCTGAATGTATGTTAGTATACCGTGTGTGTATAATGTCCATGGAGGCCAAAAGAGGGTGTGGGATCCCATGGAATTGGAGGTACAAGTGGTTCTGAGTCCTCCTGTGGGTGCTGGGAACTGAACCCAGGTCTTCTGCAAGAGCAGTCAGTGCTTTTAACCGCTGAGCCATCTCTCCAGCCCCTGCGGGTATTGCATGGCTCCAGTGCACTTGCATACAGGCATGCAGGCAGGCAGTGCACACACACACACACACACACACACACACACACAAATACAATGAAAAAAAAGATTTTTAAGAGCATAAAAAGCTGTCAAAGCAAAACAATAACAAACTAATTGAACATGCCAGTACCCACCTTGTTAGTAGTGTCAGCTGCAGAAATACAGTGTTGCAGTGACTTCCAATTTTGAAGGCCATGGCTTTTCAGACCCCATGCCTTTGGCAAGTTCTGCAGTAGTCAATGAGGAATGGAGGATGGCTACAGAACAAAGACGTTTCTAGATAGAGAAAAGCCTCAGTTCCTTGGCTTTGTTCTGTGAAAATAAAGAAGTAAAAAAGACCTGAAATACAGGAAGTCATAAATACAGCTCAAGAAAAGAATCGGGGACGTTCCATGAAGGACAGGTCTGAGGCGGGCCTGAACACAAGTCCTTTAGACCAGAGATCCCTCCAAGGAAGTTTTTCAGGCAGTGAAGGTTACTTCAGAGATGTTATAATCCCTGGGCCCGAAGTTATTCTTTGTTAGATTTTTTTAAATTATGAAGTTATTTTGTTAATTGATATAGGACTCTTCTGCTTTTCTATCTCTTATTGAGCTGGTTCTGGTAGATGGTGGTTTTAAAGGAATGTTTCCTTTTTATCTACATTATGTAAATTGTGGAGTGCTTTTTAGTACAATAGTTCCTCAGTACCCGTATCCATGTTCACTTCATGTAGTTTGTTACCTGAAATCAACTATAAGAAAATATTAAGTGGAAAAGTTAAAAAATAATTTATAAATTTAAAATAACCATTATTATAGTATATTGTTCTAATTAATCTGCATTATTACTAGCTATGTTAATCTTTTACAGTACTTAAATTTTTTTTTTGTCTTTTTGAGACAGGGTCTCCCTGTAGCCCCAGCTGTCCTGGAACTCACTATGTAGACCAGGCTGGCCTTGAACTCATGGAGATCTGCCTGCCTCTGCCTCCTGAGTGCTGGGACTAAAGGAGTGCCCCACCACGCCCGGTGACAGTGCTTAAATTTTTTTTAGTGTTCTGGATTAAATGTGCCTAATTTTTAAATTAAAGTTCATCACAGGTAAATATGTATTGTAAAAAACTACAGTATATATGAGGTTCAGTGCTATCTGTAGTTTCAAGCATCCACTGCAGCCTTGGGTACTGCAGCCTTGGGTACTG